AAGTCATTTTTAACAGTGAAAAATTATTTCCCTGATGTTATATCCCAACTCTTTCCCACATTCCTAATGAAAGTAACTTAACAGAGCATATTAAAAAGGTATTTTCTCCCCTTCTTTGACAGTATTGGCAGTGTCTGCTGTTTGCCAGCAAACTAAAGAGCTTGGGCATCGCGATGCCTTTGAAACCAGTCTGTGTTGCTGAATTTCCTTCCTAATTTTCCAAAGGGTGAGGCAACACCATTGGCACAGTAACTTCAGAATATTTCCTCTATTCATTAACCATTAAAACTTTATTTGCCTTCAAAACCGTAGGGAAAAGACAGTACCTAATTCTCCCAGGAATTACTCGTATGGGGCAAATACATGCTCTCTTTTCAGCTTTTATCTAAGGAATGGAAGACACTGAAAGCCACTGATGAGTACTAGAGCTAAAATAATCACTAGGCATCTTAGCAAACAGACTGCTGCCTAAAAGCCAAATTCTTTACTTGCATCTCCCTGTTTTTTCACTTGAAGATGCAGCAACATTGGAGAAGAAAAATTGTTGCAGGTGGTAACTTTCTTTAGAAGAACACAGAGAGGTGTTTGTCCCAAAACAATGATATTTAGTAGCTGAGATGCAGTTGTCAATCAAGGGGTTGCTGGGAGGAAAGAGTGTCACAACGATTCTGGGGGGCAACCTGAAAATGTTATGGGAAGAAGGTTTCAAAATGGGCTGAGTTATTTTTCTTCCTCCCTATCCCTTTTTCCTTGTGCCACACACGGTAATTAATACCTGCAGTGTGTGGCATGCGCTATACCGAATAGAAGTTTGTTTTGATATCAAACACCTCACTCAACTGTCATCACCTTTCCCAAGCATACTTTAGACAACATACTTAGCATATGTATAAGATAAACACCTTCATTTATAAGTAATATATTTGAGTTGCATTATATATATATATATATATATATTCACAACAACGGATTGCCTCTGTGTTTCCACTTACTGTCCTTTCTTTGTCTGCTTTTTTAATATATGGGACGATGGTGTATTTACGTAAGAGGAAATCAGCTCCCGTATTTAAAACGAGTGTATTAAGGTTGGTGTCGTTAAGACACAGACGATCCGTAGCTTCTCACAGTGCTGCATTATTCATAGCAAACTCTTATTTAACAACAGGACCACAAGCGAATATTTATGTAAATAGGTATTTTCGTGTTGATATTTTGTGGTACACATATAACTTCTTCTTTTAGAGTTCCATGGCATTATTACTTCATTTTCTTATTTGTAATGTAATGTTTTTAGGTCAAAGTAGACTTGAATTAATGTCATAATTGTCAGTATTATTAAACTTTATGTCAACTGTACTGTTAACTCACCTGTCCCATAGTTCTAGAACATGACTAGCTATCTGGCATTGTTGCAAGTGCCTTAAATCCATGGCATCCTATTAAAAAAAAATTACAAATTTGGTGTTATGCTGCATGACAAAGACAAACACACCTCAAAATGTCGTCCTTTCTTAGCTTGCTGCGTTTTACAGTTCTTTCTGCTACCAATTTCTAAGCCTTTATTATATAATATTGATGAATTACAGAAATGATGAAGTCGTTCTCTTATTTCTGTTCAATGTACCAGAGCTGTGTATCTGTTAATGAGATACAGAGTCATTTCTGTGAAATGTATAAATGTTATGTGCGGGTCAAATTAATATATGACATCCTATCAGTCCGTAGACAGGTATTCCTGTTTTGCTAAGCTGTGCAGATCCAACCCATCGTGCCGTCCAGCGCCAACCTCCCGTCTTATACAAACCCCTTTAGGAATCTCCCACCTGGAAAAAAAACGACGGAGCGACTCGGTGTGCAACCCGACCTGTGGGCTTTTGACCTGAGGCCCCGATGCAAAGGCGTAGCTCGTTTGCACCACTCAACAAAACAGGATCCGTGCTTTTCCCCCCGACTCCTTCTATATGCAACCCACCGCGGAGGCGAGCCCTTGGCTCTCGCACAGGGCTGAGCTGCTCAGCTGGATGCTCCTCACCCTCCGCAGCTCCCCAGCCGCCTAAACCAGCCGTAACGCTGAGACTTGGGCAGTTTTAAGGCTTTACCGGCAAAAGGGGAGATTTTCTTTTGGAGTTGCCTATCATCCCGAGTCCCAGTTTACGCTGTTTTTACACTAGCCCTTTGTTTTATATTCTTTATTTCTCCAGTTTTCTTCTTACATGAAAGAGGTTTTGTTTGTCGGACAAATGTTGGTCATCCACCGGTCGTCAGCCGGTTGCACTCTTTTGATGTAGATTTAAAAACTTTTTTTCATAAACTTTAACCGCTTTTGTTTTGCTCTGTATTTTCCCTGCAGCTGTAATTGCTGAGTGCCTGTTGTATACTTTATAGAGTTGAAATAAAAATAATTACTTTTGAACGGCGTGTTGACGGCTTTCTTCCACGGCAGAAGCCAAGTTTGGGACAGTTCTGGTTAGCAATTAAATCTGGGGTTTTATTCTCATTTATGACAATACGCAGTAAGAGATAACTATCAAAATGTATGGTCCTTAGACATTAGTACTGACATCCAGCTTTTCTGCAGGATGCAAAGGCAAATGGCCACAGTTACTGTACTCTAGTGCTTATTTGAGCAGTGGCATCACCCCAAGCAGCCCGGCTGAAGGGGTCCGAGGCCGATGAGGGTCCTGCTTCAAGCAGGCTTGGCACCAGATGACCCCCCCCCAGCTCGTTTCCAACCCGAATTATTATGTGAAGGTACTAAGCAACAAGCACATTTGCAGCATGCTTACTCGTCAAGGATGAAGAACTCTCTTTATAGTTTGATTGCTGCCAATATAAGCGAATCCAGGGCACGCAGCTGGGAAGGGGCCTTATTTCCAACACAGGTTGTGTCATCCCTAGATGGGATGTGGCTGCAAACAACGCCCGTGTCAAAAAATGATGGGTGCCTTTGTCATCACTGTCCCAGAGGGGAAATGCTGAGAGGTGGTGATGGTGGTGTGGCTGTTAATGGCAGCACAGCCACGGGATATCGGAAAGACCCCACCTCTGTATACAGGATGATGCAGCTTTCAGGGTGCTAGGACTCTGCCCATCCTGATGGATTCAAATCCGTTCCTGGGAAGCTGCTCAGTCTCCACGTGACACGGCTGTCTTTAAATCTCAGCAAGGTCAAGGTTAAGGGTGCACTTCAGTGCCGTGTGGACACAGAGGCAGGTAAAAACTGGGGAAAGGAGCAAGAAAACCTCCTCCCAGCAGGGAAACGGATTGGATAACTGCCCAAACAGGAGCTGGGAAACATCACAAAATGATTTTACAGGGTGCAGCAATCACAGATACAAGTTAATCATACAATAAGAAGCCCGGGGTGACGTGGCCCTCACCTGAAACTGCATGGGGAATCCAGGGATTTCGGGGCAAGGTGTGGCCCTCATTCTTGCAGGCTAAAAATAGCAAGGCCCGGGTTTGCCTGGCTGCGGCGGGGATGTCCTCTGGCCGCTGACGCAGCAGCACCGCTTCCGCCAGCACGTGTGCGAGGTGCCCGCCGAAACTTTCCCAGCCAATTATTAGCCCGGCTTGAGCCTCTTGGGCCTGAAATACCTGAGAGCAGCTCCCCGCAGAGCGACAGCAATACCCGTCGAGCCGGAGGTGGGCGAGCGCTGTCTTTAATTGCGAGAAATCACCCACCCGTGCGGGAATAAAAGATCTAGGGTGGGCTGGGGCAGCCCTCCGGTGGTCGTTTTTTTTTTTTTTGCCTCTATTGTCTTTCAAACCCGGCTTAAAATAAATGAATTAAATAATCCATTAATTCCTTTTAAAAGTGCATTAGGCTGTTAGCATGAAAAAAAAAAAAAAAAATTTAATTAATTGAGGTTTGCTACGGCAGCCGCACAACCCTCCCGGGAGCGGGTGGGGGGGGCAGGTGGGGGGGCGCGCTGCCCCTGCGCGGCCGCCAGGGGGCGCCGTGGTGCCGGCCGCGCCGCGCTGCCCCGGGGGAGAAGGGGGGGGGTCGGGGGGGGGGGGTGGTTCGAGGGAGGGGGGGCCGGCGGCGTCCCGAGGGCGCCGAAGCAGGGCCTGGGAGAAAGGGGGGGATGGGAGGACTTGGGGGGGGGGGACGGACGGACGACGCGACCCCTTTGATGTCCCCGCATCAAAGGGCCCGGGAGCTCCCCCCACCAATGTCGCCCCCACCCCCCATCCTGACAGAGGGGCTACCCGAGCCGGGGTCAGGCGAGTACTCGAGGAGGAGCGGGGCGGGGGGGGGGGACACACACACACACATACACACACGGACACCGACGGGGCCCCGTCCCGTCCACCCCCACACACACCCCGGGGCGGAGGGGGGGGGTGTTGCGGAGCGGCCCCCTCCCTTCCTGCAAAGCTGCTCTGGCGCCAGGAAGGGCGCGGGGAAAGGGGGGGGGGGGGGAAGGAGGGGGGGGGGGGCGCTGCAGATTTATAGGAGACCAAAGGACCGACGGTGCCACCGGGGAGGGGGGGCTCGCTGTACCCCACCGCGGCTCCCAGCCACTGCGGGAGGGAAGGGTTGCGTGGGGGAGCCCCCCCCCCCCCCTTTCCTTTCCCGACCCCTCCCGTCGGGCGAGGCGAAAACGGCGGCGTCGGGGCGTGCGGAGCATCTGGACGGGGATGGCGGGGGGGGGGGGGGGGGGGGGGTGTCTGCCCTCGCCGTTGCGAAACCCCCTCCCGGGCCGTTGGCCAATGACGGAGCCCTCGGGGCGGGGTGTGTGCGTGGGGGGGGTGGTTTTATGGAGGGGTGGGGGGGGATTCATCGGCACAACCCCCCGGGGGCCCTTTGAAATCCCATCCGCCGTGCCCTCCTCCCCGAGGGGGCGGGCGCAGGAGGCAGCCCCCCGGGGGTATAAAGGCGGCGACGGGCGGCGCAGGTAGCTGCTGCTCGGGGGCTGTGGGAGCTGCTGAGGCGGCGGGACATCACCGGGGACGAGGGGCCGGGAGGGGACGGGACGGGACGGGACGGGACGAGGATGCGGGGGCTGGTGGCGCTGCTGGCGGCGCTGAGCTGCGCGGCCCCGGCGGGGCGGGCGGCGTCTCCCGGGGGGGCCCTCAGCTCCAACGCCATCAAGGGACCCCCCCCCGGGGCGGCGGCCGAAGCCAGCGCCGCCCCCGCCTCCCCCTTCGACGGCAGCAACAAGCCACCGCCGGCTGCCACCCGGCAGGTAGGAACGGGGCTGCACCGGGGATGGAGGTGGAGGGGGACGCGGCGGGGATGGAGGGGGGGGACCACAGCGGGGATGGAGGGGGGGCACAGCGGGGATGGAGGGGGGCACAGCGGGGATGGAGGTGGGGGACCACAGCGGGGATGGAGGGGGGCACAGCGGGGATGGAGGGGGGCACAGCAGGGATGGAGATGGGGGACCACAGTGGGGATGGAGGTGGGGGACCACAGCGGGGATGGAGGGGGGCACAGCGGGGATGGAGGGGGGCACAGCAGGGATGGAGGTGGGGGACCACAGTGGGGATGGAGGTGGGGGACCACAGCGGGGATGGAGGGGGGCACAGTGGGGATGGAGATGGGGGACCACAGCGGGGATGGAGGGGGGCACAGTGGGGATGGAGATGGGGGACCACAGCGGGGATGGAGGGGGGCACAGCGGGGATGGAGGTGGGGGACCACAGCGGGGATGGAGGGGGGCACAGCGGGGATGGAGGTGGGGGACCACAGCGGGGATGGAGGGGGGGCACAGCGGGGATGGGAGGGTGTGGCGGCCCCGCTGACCCCCTCTGCCTCCTCCCTGCTCCCCAGCCTTTCCCCTGCGCCGAGGACGAGGACTGCGGCCCCGAGGAGTTTTGCGGGGGGGCGGCCCGTGGCGGGGGTGCCCCGCTCTGCCTCGCCTGCCGGAGACGCCGCAAGCGCTGCCTGCGCGACGCCATGTGCTGCCCCGGCACGACCTGCAGCAACGGTGAGGGGCAGCAGGGCTTGGGGACGCACACACACACATATACAAACACCCTGGGGGTGGCCGCGGGAGGGGGCGTCGGGGTCCCACTCTTGGCTGACAGCCAACCCGCTGCCTCCCACAGGGCTCTGCACCCCCCCGGAGCCTCCCCACGGAGCTGCCGAGCTGGATGACATCGGCACCGAGGCTCTGCCCCGACGGACACCCGCTCCCGCCTGGCTCCCCACTGCCAAAGGTAAGGGGGTCCCCAGTGCTGTGACCCCACTGTCCCCCGTGGGGGGGGTGGGGGGGGTGGCGGGTGGCGGTCTGGGATGCTTAGCCCTGCTGTCCCCCTTTGGAGCAGCCTAGGCAATCCACCCAGCCTCACTGTCCCCGCTGGGGGACGCCCACGCTGCCCCACCATCCCCAGTGGGAGCATCCCGGGCTGAGCACGCGCCACGCTGTCCCCACGCAGGTGAGGAGGGGGACTTCTGCCTGCGCTCGTCGGACTGCGCGGCCGGGCTCTGCTGCGCCCGTCACTTCTGGTCCAAAATCTGCAAGCCGGTGCTGCGGGAAGGGCAGGTGTGTACCCGGCACCGGCGGAAAGGCGCCCACGGCCTGGAGATCTTCCAGCGGTGCCAGTGTGCCGAGGGGCTGGCATGTCGCCTCCAGCGAGAGCACGGCCCCGCTGACACCTCCCGCCTGCACACCTGCCAGCGGCACTGAGCATCGCCTGCCCGACGGACGGACGGACGGACAGACAGGACGGGACGGACTCCGGCACCGCCGGAGCGGAAGGTTGTTTCTCAAGGGAACTACTTTTAAGCAACTAATTGCAGTACGTTACTGTGTTGTGAATACTCGAGCTGGCACTTAGCTGTACATAACGCCGGGACTTTTTAATGACTTATTTTTTTTCCGAGGGTGCTGCCTCGTGCTCTTCAAGCCGTGACTGTGACTTTGTACACACTGGGTTTTTAAATCTAGGTCAAAGGGACGCGACCATCTGTTTGCGGGTGAATAAACTGGTCTTTAAAATCAGCCCGAGCTGCCTACGTGTCCCTGCCTGCACGTGGCCGCCGTGGTCCCCCTCTGCCCCATGGGAGGGGAGATGCACCCCAGGGTGGAAATGCTCAGTGAGAGACGGGGGGGAGCGGGGTGGCTTATTGCTGGCGCCCCGTGGGAAAGGCTGTTTGGTTATCACTATTTATTCAGCTACTTTTTAAGAATGACTGTGTGCCGTGGTAGCCGCTGATACTCTCTGGCCACCAGATGCAGGGCCAAGGGTGGGCACTGTGGCCGGGGCTCCAGGAAGGGTGAGCGGCACTGAAAAACCCTCCTGCCCGATTTTCCCGTGGGGTGAGGAGGGAGTGAAGGGTCGCCAGAGGGGCTGTGCTGGACCGTGACACACAGCCGACCACGGGACGAGCGCTGAGGAGCACAGCGACCGCAACCGCTCCATCAGCGCAGTTTTTGCTCCATGCACAATAAAGACTTATTTTTCACTTCACTTTGCAGCCTGTTCCTATGAGGTTTCCCCCTTTCGGGATGGCTTGGAGGGAGGGGAAGCTGCAAGCATGCATTTTTTTCCCACCCCCTTTAGCTTCTAATCCTGTCGGCCTATTGCAAGGGGTTGTAAATGTGTGTGGAGTGAGAGTGGGAAGGGGAGGGGCTGGTGGACAGCAAGTGTAGTGCTGGTAACTCTGTCCTGTGCCTACCTGTCAGGCTGCCCTCAGCCTCTCTGCAGGCTGGAAAGGGTGTTTGGGATGGAAAACCATGCTGGAGCCTTCCCTGTACAACCCAAAAGTGCTTTGTACCCCAAACCTAAATCTGACTGCAAAGCAACGCGGCCCCTGGGTGGCCCTGAGGGCACTGTGTCCCATTTGCAGGGATGTTCCAGCAGTGCTACATCTTTTTTTTTTTTTAAAAAAAAAAAAGATGTGACCTGCTCACAGGTGTTTGGTGCCCCTAGTATTAACCCTGATGATTTAGGGACCTCGGGGACTGCACTGGTACATGGGATTGCTGAATATGAACCCAAACTGCAGCTCTGGCAGGCGTCTGCAAGTACCAGCTGGTGCTGAACCAAGCCCGCAGCTACAGAAAACGCAAAGGAGGGAGCACACAGCCCCATGTGGAGGCAAACGGTTGCAAAATAGAGCCTTCCTCTTGCACGGGGATCATCCCCAGCTCCCCTCCGGCTCGTTTCTCAGCTCGGTGGCACGCAGGCAGGCTGAGAGCAGCCAAAACCGCCCCAAACCGGAGGATGAAACTGGTGCTCCTTAAACTGCCGAAACACACCGGGATGTTTGTGCCCATCAGGCCGCTTGCGGCAAGCGGGGGACGTTGCTATCGCCAGCGGGATGGTGGCCGGGGCTGTGGACGCCGGCAGCTAAACTGGCAGGTCGCAGCGGGGTTGCGCGGTGACGGTGGTGAGGCCTCGCCGTCGCGGGCCAGCGCTCGGGAGCAGCTTTCGCCGGGGTGGCAGCAGGAGCCGGGCTTTGAAGGAGCGCCTTGAAAGAGTTTGTGACTCGAAGGCTTGGAGTTTAGTGCTTTTGTCGTTGTGAAAAGCCTTCAAAAATTTAAAAAGGTGGTTTGGTTTTTTGTTTTTTTTTTTTTTTTTTTAAGTACATAGCTTTAAAAAACATGATTATTTCATAACATACTACTTATTACTAATTACAGTTATGCCCAGTAAAAGCCAATGGCACTGGAGGAATGAAGGTACCTGGCTACAAATAAAAGCATCGGAGACTATTTCAGATCAAACATTAATGGTGGCATATTTTATCCCTAGTACATAGAAAACAGTGTCATTAGGTTTAGGATTTTTTTCTCCATACAGTTAGAGCACTCTCTCCTTCCCAGATAGGCCAACAAAGCTTTGACACCTTTGAAGGCAGTGAAAAATATTCTCATGGTGCATTAAATATCAATTACACATCTTTTTGGTTCAGATTCACGTTACATCAAATCTTGCCCACCCGCAAACACGCTCGGGTGGACGTGGGGCTCAGCATCGTCACACGAGCTCCGTTCTTGCAGACACATTTCAGCACCAGGATGGCCTTGTGGTGACACCTAGCACTCTTCGACACTTCGAACACCTTCATAAAGTGGTTATTTTGGCCTGAAAAACGTTGGGTACCATTTCTTGTTATTGTTAGTACCATGTTCTCCATCCTCTTCTGTTTCAGGTAGTTTGGCCATCCTGTCCATGCATTAACCAAAATGACTTTGTGCTTCTTACGCCTTGATATTCTTCACTTTCTCAGTCTGGGGAAAAAAAAAAAAAAAAAAAAAAAAAAAAGAGCTTTATTAGCAGCCCTTCTTAGGCAAGAGGAGCAGCTCATGTCAGCATCAATGCAAGGCATAAGGGATTTTCAAAGCACAGGTTGCATCTGTTTCCTGTGGCCCATGCCTAGCAAAGGTTTTGTGGGGTTCCCCCCCCTTTCCTCTTACCACATCTCAGATTGCAGTCAGGATCTCTTCCCATTTGTGCCCCATTTGAACTTCCAGGTTTTGTTCTTTAAGTAGAGCACCAAGAAATAGGATTTAGTAACATCCTTTCAAAAAAAAAAAATTGTGACAAGATGACCCCATGTCTGTTAAGTCTTAAAACCCCACTTCTTTAAGGGAGAGATTTTCAGTCTTCCCTTGGTCCCAGGCATCATTCAGCCCCCAGAACCTGAACCTGTGTTACGTGTTCAGCAGCCTGGGAAGTCAAAGTACTCATTTAGTGCCAATAGCAGCTCAGAAATGTGGATAAATAGTACCTGAGCCCTGACCTGTAAATGTGGTCACAGGGAGGCAGAAGCAAAAGCTGCCTGTGCCCTCAGTACTGGGCAAAGGCATCTGGAAGATGGGTGGGAGCATCAGGAAGCCCCAAAGAATAAATAGGCAGCATCACCATGGTCCCTCCTCTGTTCATCTCCCCACCAGCAGATGCTCCATGTTTCAGAAATGTCTGAATTAACACTTGCAAACTCAAAAAAAAAAAAAAAAAAAAAAAAAAAAGGTTATGTGAAAATTGATATATATTGATCAGACTTGGAAAAGACGGGGTGTGGCAAGCCCCTGACTTTGAACTGGCTGGTGTGTATGGACCTGGATCTCATGCTCTGACCCAAAGAGAGAGGTTATGGAGAAATAAGTTCTTTCAGCACATGATGCACAACGGAGTAAAAGTCATCTCAGGACGTGCTTCCCTGACCAGTCTCCCCTCTAATGAGATTACTTATAACAAAACAAAACAACAATGAAAACCTCAACCTTGTTCTAATCAAAAAGTAGAGTTAATAAAAGAAACGGATTTTGGTGGGTGAGGAGGCTTAGCACACCTCTTGTTTACTGGCTGTTCCTGGTTATAGGGTTGGAAGAGCTAACAATACAGCTCTGTAAAGTTAAATATTGTTATTTATAACAGCAAACTGGAGCATTGTAAAGCAGCCTCCCTTAATGACTGGTTGCTGGCAGCACAGCTTTACAGACTTCTGCAAATATAACCCTTCCCCTTCATTTCTCCTTCAAATTAAATCCTATATCATGCACAGCCAGTGGAAGGGTGGCTCCAGCCCTGGCAGAGGATAAATAAGCACAATCCCACCATCATTTCTATATGGCCAGCACGGCCCCACGCAGAGCGTGAGGGTACAGCGCTTGCCCTGCTTGTCCCTGAAACTGGGTGCCTTGCCCTGGTTAGCAGAGGCGTGGAAAAGGAGCTGGTGATATCCCCTCCAAAGTTTTGCCTTTTGAGGGTCCAAAGGAGGGCAGAAGAAAAAAGCAGAATGTAACTTAGTGGGGTTTGAGCCTCCACGGTGGTAGGAGACAGTATCTAAGGGGTCTGCATGGGCTGGATTAATGATTGTGCTCCACTCCTTCACATACTCCTCCCAAAAGCTCCAACTCTGATCCTACAGGTTTTAAAGGTCCTATTTCCTTCCATATCCATTTACAAGCTGATTTGCTACTAATTCGTCTAACTGTTGAAATTTTTTTTGAAGCCCTTTCTGGACTCTTAACCACTGACTTGTTATATACCTTGCATCTCCGCAGCACTCGGCTAAAAACAATAAAGTAACATCCCAGAATCCCATAGCCCTACCCCAGCCCTGAGATGACAGGGACTGTGTAAATGCAGATGGCTTCAGTGATTTGAACAGAAAATTGAATCACTCTTCCAACTCTGCTATGGTCTTCCCAAGATGTTTTTTTCTGCACTGTGGATACAGATTTCAAGGAGATGCTTTCACAGAAGCATCATCAGAAAGTCCCTCTCAGCTGCACCCAGTGACAATATTGGCATAAAGACATTTATCTTACAAGGGAAGAACTGAGGAGGATGGGACGCAGTGCAGCTTTTACTGTGATTTGTGGCGAGATGAGTTTTCAGAGAGGCAAATACTGTTTTCTTCCAATTTTCTTCCTAAAACCTTTCAGAAACTACTTTGACCCCAAGTTATAGTACAAGAAGTATCCCTTTTTTTTTTTTTTTAAGCAAAGTTTTAAAACAGATGATCACACTCCTCTTCCTTCCACCAGTCTACATCACATTTAACACCAAACTCCCACGTCACTGACAACACTTGTCTGAAGAATGAAACTCCTCTCTATACTCATATGGTGCAAGAAAGGGTTACAAAATTTCTTAAATCCACCCACAGGCATTAAGATGAGAAAAGGGGTTTTTTTGTTTGTTTGTTTGTTGTTTTGTTTTTTTTTTTTTTTTTTTTTTTATACCCACCTCTCCTGACAGAGCAGAAAACTGCACATTCTAGCTCAGAAAGATGAAAGCCCTGTTCAGAGAGAGCAGGTGAAAAACCTTTATGGATGTAATACAATACAGAAAGCTTTGGGGGTTTTTTTGTTTGTTTGTTTTCCCTTATATCTGGGACTGGGTTTTTCTGGTGGGGAGTTAACCCACCTGCTGAATCTGCTCTTTATCATAAGTCTTTCAGCTGAGGGCTTGGTGAAGCAAGAACCTTGATCTCACTTGGGGTGGGAAGCAGAGTAACCAGGTGGCCCAGCTCCTCATCACCCCT